TGATGATCCATTTTAATCTACCCTCCTTAGCCTAAGATTTAAAGTCTTTCACAAATGTTTATACATGTGTACTAGATCTACCCTGGTGCTACGGAACAACGCAAGCTAAGTAATCAGACGACCGTGTTTACGATTGATTTACTCTAGCTAGACTAGTCCAAACAAGACTATTGGGTCGGTCTGCTACACAGATTGATGGTGCAAAGCGGCTATCGTGGCAGAAGTTGTTTTCAGGCGACGAGTCGGGCGATCATCCCGACCCGACCTGACCTGGGTCACTGGGCGGCGGCGGGCACCCGCCGTAAGCTAATTCAAAGTGTAAAGAAGCGAATAGCCCCCCTTGGCGACGTTATTTTTAGTCGTGGAAGAAAATTTCGGTGTTTTTTATGAAATTTTATTATTTTTTCCGAATTTTGCGGGAAATTGGCTAAAATTAGCAAATTCATGAAAATCGTAAAAGTTGCGCAAAAGTTGCGCTGACGGCAAAAGTTGCGCGCGGAACTTGCGGGTTGTGTGCGCGAATTTCTCTGGGGACAGACAAACAGGTGTTCTTTGACCACTCTTTTAAGTGATATTGAAGGGTGTAATTTCTCCTTGGGTTTTCACTTGCTGTGTAAGATCTCTTTTTGTCTATCCTGTTTATCGTGGCATATACGTAGGCTCTCTTTTCTTTCCAAAAGAGTGACCAGTGATGTCATTGCATTTTGTACCAACCAGTTTACAACAGCAAAGGACGTCAAGTTCACACCCTGCTCGCTTCGCGCCTTGACATGGGTAGAGGCATCCCCAGTTCTTTCAACCTCTTCCTTTTGTTACCCTTCCAATCGTTTTCATGCCGTGTCCTTTTCGCAGAGATCAAAGGTGACATAACTGTTTTATTATCAGCTGATGTGACATTAGCCTGGTCATGTTGATCACTTTCCATTGTGCTGAGGGTCAGAAGTGACGTAGCAAGAGTGGCATCATCTTATTGAATGTTATAGCGTTATGTAAATTAAGGTTTGATATAAAGATAAAGCATTATGTTATGACACTGAGAAAATAATCTATACAAAACACAATCGAAATGAACTTTCAAAGAAAGTCGAAAGATGTTTCAGAAGGTAATAACCACAATAAGCACTGCCAATGAAAAAAAAAAAACGTTAAAAGAAAACGATCGTTGGGGGCAGACGGTGTGCTGGACAGATCCCACATTTTTTTTGTGAGTGAGTTAGTAAAGAATGAAAAGCTATCGACTTCGTCCATTCAATTGCAATGGAAAAAATTATTAGGAGTATATGAAATGGACAATTTGCTGTCGATAGGGCCAATAAAATATTTTTTGACATTTTGTGGGTTAGTCGGTTTTATCACCAGGCCGACGATATATGTGTGTGTGTGTGTGTGTGTGTGTGTGTGAGTGTGTGTATGTGCGTGTGTTTGTGAGTCGATATGCTAGCTACTACATATATGAGGCAGCGTGGTGGAATCAGGCTCTCGTCAAAATAATCAAAGTGAAGAAACTCGCATTTTTCCGCTGGTTTGTGAATTTTTATCAAATTTATGTTTTTTGGCCCAACACCTTCTATACCCATTAAAGAACTCATTTCTCGGTGGATTTTTCAGAAAAAAGGTTTATTAAAGGCACAAAAATATAAATTTTCAGTTACCAAGGACTCTTAAGCTAAGGAAATAACTAATCTTTGGCGGCCATTTTCACACTAATTTTACCTCTGAAAACAGGTGACCCCCATCTCCTTCTTTTGCAAATATCTCGAATTGTATTCAAGATAAATGGACATTTTTTTCATCCAAATAAAGACAAGTGAACAAGCTTTAAGATGATACCAATACCTCTACATGCCCAAAAATTGACGAGAGCCTGATTCCACCACACTGCCTCACATATTGTTGGTTGTCAATTTTTTAACTGAAGCTGTCGACAGTGCAATTTCTGAGACACTTGACTCGACCTACAGGCCTGTAACATTTTTCTCTCACTAGCAAAATGGAAGGCATACGTGGCAGTCTAGGTTGTATTGACAAAGAAGTACAAACAACCCCCCCCCCCCACCGACCTCTCCTCAGCCTAAATTGTATTGAAAAAAGAAATACTAGCCAAATGTCCCCTCCGACTTGTCTGTAGCCTAAATTGTATTGAAAGAAAAGTACAAGCAAAGTCCCTCCCCCCCC